TTATGTTATTTTATTTTCATTAACCAAACAAAATTTCTTAATTTTGAAAATTAACTGATTGAAGTTAATTTTGTCAATTCGATTAATATTTTTGGTTAACCGAATAATAAAATATATTAAGTTAAATTATATTTTAAATCCTTAATTTCTCTTATGTGAAACAAATTAAATAAAATCATCCAATAAAAATATTCAAACACCAAATTATTAGTTAAAAACTCTAATAACTTGAAATGAAATGGGTAATTTCATATACTTTTAGGTTTATATATAAGTTTTATTATATTTTGATCAAAATTTCAGTTAATTTGATTAATTAGATTAATTCACTTTTTAAATTGAATTAATCAAAAATCAAAATTTCTTTAAAATTATTTTTGATAATCGACCAAAATTAATTTGATAACAGATCAATTAATTGAATTGAATCGATTTAGTCGATTAATTTGGTTAAAACCAAATTACGAACACCTATACTCATGCCTATCTAGACAAAACATAACCTTACACATTAATAATAAAGGTTGATTTCATTAACTAAGTTTTTTTTCTTATAATACAGTACATATAAACTAATATAGACTAATGGAAAGAAGACATATTATTTTCTAGACATCTAAATAGAAAAAATTATATAAACTAAACGTCTTTGTAGTTTAGAAAGTGAAAGAGGTTTTTTCCTTCACTCTAACATGATTAACCCAGCATCCAAAACATACTTATAGTGTATTTAATTAGATGAGTCACCATTTAATTACCAGCAATGTTAACACTTAGGCCTTGTTTGGATTCAATTGAAGTCACTCGTAAAGTTCAATTGAGGTATTTTTCTCAACCATACCGTGATGATTCGTTTAGGTGTCATGAGTGTGACAAGATTGAAGCATTTTCATGCTGTACCCCTGTTGGCTATTTAGTACTTTTAAGGTCTAGTTAGCCTTACTGTTGCTTGGTATCGTTTTTTACCCTTCAACTAACAGCCAAGCACAATAAAAAAAAAAAAAACTTTTGATTTGGAAGGGGAAATTTTTTTTACCAAAAAAATTAGTACAAAGGAAGAAGGGAGAAAGAGAATGATGGTAGGATTTCCATTGGCGTTCAAGTTAGCATCAGTATAAGATGGAAAGACAAAGAGTTCTAAAAAAGGAGTAGAAGTGTAAAAAAAAAAAAACACCATTGAAAAATAAAAAAGAAAGATTTGATTTTTTATTTAAGGCGGATGAAAAATATATAAAGTTAGGGGCTATTGATGTATAGTAATGTGGGGAGAAGGTAAGGAAAGAGATGAGAAAGAAAGTGAAGAATGGAATGGCTAATGAGGTTTGGCAATGGGGGGGGTAAGAAAATGATGAAAAAGAAAGAAGTGAATGAAAATAGGAAATTTTGTTTAGGTCTATATAGCAACATATAAGAACTACATAGTTTTGGTTTAGTATAAATAAAATGCATATCATATATCATATATCATATATCATATCACATATAATATTATATTGCAGCATATATGCTTATCTTATAAGGTTTGCTTACATGTAATCTTATATGGACAATCTATATTAGTGACATATATGATAGTTCTTTAATTGTAGTTGATCACCAAAAAACCTTATTATTTAAATTTAAAAGATATTTTAAATCTTAAAAAATCATATTTATCCAAATTTTTTATGTTAAATAATTTATAATCTTTATATTCATTTAAAGAGACAAGATTATTGGGATCATTCCAATGAAAAAAATAAAAATAAAATCCCATTTAAAATTAACATGAGTAAAACATATACATATTATTTATCTTGCATTTAAACTATATAAGTACATTGCAAAACAATTTTGAAGTTTTGGACTTCATTTATTTATTTATTTATTATTATTATATGTTGTGTAAAGCATGGATATATTTAAATATTACGTTTTTATTATTATAATATTTTTAATATATGTTTTTAGTATTTTTATTTTAAATTAATTGATTTTTGTATAATAGTCAATAAAACTAAATGCATGCATGAAATATATGTATTGTTATAATTTCTTCATGTACAAGAAATATATAATCAACTTTCACTTTAAATTATTTTTTAGTGTATAAATTAAGTTAAGAGTTATAAAAAAGACTTTTTTTAATAAGTTAAATAAGATCATAGGTCAATAATAACATATAATACTTATAGTTATTTTTTATTTGCATTACAATAATAATTTTTTAATATTTTCATATGTCCTATAATATATAAAATTCCTTCAGAAAATAATTAAGACTAAAATAGATGAAATTTTTTTTTATATAGATGGTGAATTTAAACTTTGGTTTAGGGTTAGATTGACATTATGTGAATAAGAAGATAATAATATATGACAAAACATTTATTAACCAAGTAATTGATTTTTAATAGGAATATTGCTAAATTTAAAAACAATTTAAATTATTGATTTTTTCCTATAAATATGCAAAAAGAAAGAATTAAAACAAAAATATTTCCCCTAAATTTAAAATCACATATATCTCTTCTATTTTTTTTTTAAAATTTTTAAGAACTTTATTATTAGTTTCTTTTTGAATTCAAAAAACACATATCACTTTAAGTCCATTAAGAATTAATAATATGCTCTACATCATTTTTTTTCTATGTTCAATTTTCCTTTAAAATTTATATTGTTTTCATAATTTTATTGTTTACTTTATTTAGATGATTTCTTTTTCTGACATTATTTTTATTCAATTCTTTTTTGTTTATCACACATTTCTTGATTGATTTTTTTTAATATTTTGATCAAAATCATAATTTAGTGAAAGTATGTCAACACTTTTTTTATTATTTAATTGATTATTCAATATTTATGTTCTCCTAAAAACCCAAAATTATATTTGGATTCAATTCTTTTTACTTTTTGATCCATATCTAATATCTCTTATTTTTCACATTTATTTTCAATATTTTGATCAAGATAATAATAGTAAAGTTTAATTTTCTTATGACATGTTAATGGAATATAATTTATATTTTATATTTGTCATAAAATTTTAAACTTAGATATAATTGTAAGAAAAATATAAATTTTATAGTGTAAATACATATTTAAATAAATAAAATAATCCATATATTGTATGGGTTACAAACTGGTTTATTATATATAAATATATTAAATAGTAAATTAGATTTATTTTCATATATTATATAAATATATGATATCTCAGCTTAAAATTTTAAATATAAAATATTAATATTAATATTGTTTTGAATAAAATTTTAATATGATAAATGTTAAAAGAGAAATAAAAAATATATGAGAATAATTTATTAATTTAATTTCAAATTAATATATTTAATGATAATTTGTTCGTTTTATTTTATTGTCACTATTTTTTTAATCAAATTTATAATCAAATAAATTATTAGTGAATAAAAATTGGATAATTATCTAAATAATAAAGTAAACAATTATTTTTTTTTATTTTAAGATGTACAAACATATTAATATTTTTCAGAAATAATTATTATTTTAAAATAAAAATAATCAAATAAAAAATATATAAATAATAATAAAATATATAATCAATTATTTATTAAGTAAAATAATTACATAAACAGAAAATAGGTATATAATTAATTATATACAAAACAAAAAAGAACCCAAAATAATTAAATAGAAATATTATCTTGTTAAATTTAATATATACAAATATGTTATTATTAATTTTTAACAAAGTTATTATTCAATATAAAATTAATTTTATTAATTTCAATTATTTGTTAAATTTATAATACCAAGTATATTACAAAATTTATGATATACAATTTTTATTATAATGTCCTTAATAATTATTTTATTTTTTATTATAATTTACTTTACTGCTATCGTTACTTTTATATCAAAACGTATTTTTTATAATTGATTTTAATTTATCATTATAATAAATAATTTTACTGTTGTTATCGTTATTTTTAGTTTCAACCTCTATGTATCACAAGGAAACCAATCTCTTGATAAATGGAATTACGAGGAAATATGTTATTGCTACCAATTGGCATGTAGCTACACATGTATTCTACTTTAATTAATCTAACAACTATTTATTTTATACAAATTAATTTGAATTATTTAAATAATTTATCATATAATTCAAATTTATAAGTTGGTATATTTAAATGATATGCATGACGGTACACTTAAACAAACTTACTATGACTTATAGTTTTACATGGTCCTATTCCCTTCGTAGGCTTTTTTTTTTTAAAAGTGGATTTAGGGTTTTTTTTTTATTTAAAAGCAATCCTTGTGAGAGACAATTAGAGGTGTAAATCACGCTATTTTAATGTTTGAATGATAAATATTCAATGTCCTGCAATGTTGAAGTGTCAGCTACACATGGATCTAGTGAAAAATTGTGAAGTTCATTTGTTTCACTTTTAACCCTCATGTTTTATTTATTTTTAATACTTGTACATTTTTATTTTGTTTTATTTTTAATTTTTTATTTAAAAATTTGCAAATAATTTATTCTTTTTTACAAGATAAAATTATTAATTATTAATTATTTATTAGCAAAACTATTACTTAAGATACAAATAATTCAATCATTTTTAATTATTTATTAATTTTATAAATATTAATAAAATTTTCATTATATAATTTTTAATTTTTAATTATACTTTTGATATATTTTAACGATCTCTTTGATAATTTGTTGGAATATGAAATATTTCATAAATTCATTATAATACTATTTTTGAATAATTTTTTTTTATTAATATTTGAGAGATTATTAAGCTTAAATGATAAAAAATTATTAAATAATTTTTAATAATTTTTTATTTCAAAAGTTGAGTTATTACGATAACACATGTTTTTTAACATATATTTAAAAAAATTAAAAAAATTTTTAAAAAAGTGAAATATGTGTCAATATGTTTAAATTAAAAAACTTCATTACTAATATATGTCAAATAATTTAGGATTGGATAATTGTTTTCCGAAAATCCCATTCATAGAAAAAAAAAAGGGTCACCTGCAACTCACGTGCCTTCCGAACGAGAGAATGGTACAATCGAAATTGCTGTTTATTACGCACACATTGGGATAAACCCTCAAAAACCCCATCAAAAGAACTCAGTCCCAGAATACCTCACTTCAAAGTCTCTCTCATGTGATGCTAACAACAAAAATGGAGGTTCCAATCCCCTGCACGCAAAACCCTCTTCTCTTTTCTTCCACACCAATCATTAAAAACCCTCAAACCCTCACTTTCTTTCAACTCCCCACGAGGCGCAGGCTCAAAATAATAGCTTCTTCTGCCTCTGCCCATCCCAGTGGGTCTGGCTCCAATGGCTTCTCTTGGTTCAGCCTGGCTCGCTCTATCCGGATCGGGTCCGAGCAGTTCTTGTCCAAATTCGGGGAGTCGGTTAAGAAGGAAACGGGGTTTGATTTGGATGAGGCCAATCTGAGGGTGGGTGAGTTGGTTGGACGAGTTAAGGATGGGTTCAGGAAAGGCAACGGTGAGTTCACTCGGTTCAGAACTGAGCTTGTTCCCGAGTTTGTTAGCTGGAACCGGTGGGAGCGTTGGAAGGTCAGTTTCTTTTCTTTTTCTTTTTTTTTTTGTTATTGCCTTTCTATTTTTAAGTTTTTGAGTGGTTGAATATACGGGATACTAACTTAGCAAATGCTGAAATCTAGTTTTGTTGTTACCCTTCAAAGTCTTGGAAACTAATGGCTGGTGTTGATTTACATCTTCATTAATTAGGATGAACATCCAATTGTTTAGTTTGAGTCTCTTCTATGATGTTTGGTCGTTGTGGTTTTGTAGAGTTTTGCATCGGCAGACATGATAAGGGATAACAAACAATGAAGGTCATAAAAATGACAATATTCTTACAATTACATTAAGTATCTGAATTTGGAGATAACGTGAATATGGGATCAAAGTTTAGTTTTTATATGAAACATATGATAGATGTGTCCAGGTCTAGCTGCATTTTGAAGAAGAGTTGATTCCTTGTGGTGCACTATCTTTTTCAGTAAGGCTTTAATGTTCTTCAACAATTTTCTTTGAGAATGCTTGAAATATAATGCAATGCTGAGTTACACATTCTTATCTTTTCAAATTTGATTTTGCTTATAAGTTTCCTTTTCTTTCAACTTATTTGGATAGTGATGTGTCTATTTTGTTTAAACCAATGGCATGAGATATTGGTTGCCCCCAATGTGTTTGCTGCTATTAACAGATCATTCTGTCCCAGTTTAACCATTGAAGGAGAGGTTTAAACCAACCTAGAAAGAGACTTGTTGTCTAAGATAATATTTTTGATCTGAAATGCTGAAAATTCATCCAAAGTTGAAGGTAAAAGTAGTTCTCTTTGAGAACATGATGGTCTATAAATGGAGAAAAATTATTAGATTTAATTAAACAAGATGGTAGAAGTGGGACAGATTTGGATCATGCAAGATCATGGATAAAGCATTTTTATATTGAAGCAGTACCAAGAGAAACCATGAGTAAAGGGTGTATACTATTTAGTTGGAAGGGATGAATTGTGATTTTAATCTGTGAACATATTCTGGCTAGAAAGAACTGCCTTTCTTGAGGTTATGTTGTTAGATTTTTTTTTTTTTTGGTTTCATTAAATGATATCAAGCATATTTCTATTATGATTTTTCTTTTCCTTTTGATTTTCTTTTTTTCCTTTTTTTTTTTCCAATCATGATTTTCCTTTATCTAATTTGAAGTCATAATGATGGAGGAGGATAAAAGGAAACTCAGTAATTGAATTAGCTATAGGGTTGTGAGAAAAATTTTGGGTTTGATGGGAAGCAAGGCTTGGGAATCAAGAATCCCTATTGTGGTTTTGTTAATGATTAGCTGAGATGGTGAAGACACTAAACAAGTGAAATGGTTTTTTGACCTTGTACAAATAGATTTGAATCACTCATAACGAAAGAAAGTATCACACATCCTTTGGTTTTCAGCACCAAGCTGCTGCAAGATGCTTATTTGCTTCGTAGCCTGTGCATAGTGGGTCTGTAATTGATCTAATAATTGTAAATCTTAACCAAAGAATAAAAGAAGACCCAATATATGACACATTATAGTCTAAATAACACGAGTTAAAGAACCTGAGGTTTTTAATTCTGCAATGAGCAGTGCCATGGGTCTTTGGACAATGCCTCATTATCACACTGTAAATAGTAGCTCTGCTGAAAGGTTGGCATATGTTTTGAGCTGGACCTGAGTCAAAATCATCCACCAAATTAATGCTTGGGGCTTGTAAATCTGCCCTTTTTTGTTTCTACTACAATTTTTTTTTTTTTTTTATGTTTTAATTCAATCACATGGTACATATGAACTCATTATCATAGAACCAAGATTAACATAAATATAAAAAATTTAACTAGTAAATCATAGGATGATTTTAAGGATTGATATCAGGGTGGCAAGGTGGTGCATTTTTTGTTAGTTTTTTTTTTCTCTCCTTTTAGCATTGGGATGGTGAGGAGGGGGCTGTTATTTTAATGATGAAAGGCAAAGTTTTTATTGGAGAAAAAAGTTATATTAAACTTGGAAAAATTTGCTGCTAAAATTCCTAGGAAGAGGGAAGAATTTGGCTTTGCTCCAAGAATTGTTTAGACTTAAAACTTCAGACTTGATTTAGTTAGATTCAGCATTAGAAAATGATTTGATGAGGGCATGGTTACTGGAAAAGTATCATAAGTCTAAAAATGTTTTAAAGACTGTAGGTGTAAGGCAAGGTTCTTGCTATTAATGAGTTGAGGTGTAAGCCTCAAACTGCTTGAATGAAAGCCGCTCATGTATTAGTTTTTAATAGTTTAAAATTATAACTAATTAATCACAGATTAAAAATAGTAATTTTTTAAAAATTGCTGAAATATGTAACAGATTTAAATAACTGAATTATGTCTCAAAAAAAAAAAAAAAAACTAAGGCTCCGTGTGGTTGGTGCTTTTGCTATTTTTTTTTTTTTTTTGCTTTTTTCAATAGAAATTGAAAAGCAAAGGCTAAAGGGTATAAAAAGCCCTTAAACTATAATTAAAAAATAATTTAAGCCCTTATTTTTTTTATTGCAATCAATTAACCCCTCCAATATTTATTTGTATCCAATTAAGCTTTTATTTAGATGAAAAAGTTAATAACATTATTTTTTTGCTAACTAAGATAAAATTTCATGTGACATCAATAAAATAGATGAAAGTTTGCCACGTGACACAATTAATATATATGTGAAAGTTAAATAAAATAAACTTCTTTTTCTTTTATTTGTCTTTTTCTTCTCTATTTTGTTTCCTTTTCTATCTCTAAGATCCCTCTAAGGATTTAATTGATTGTAGTTTTGGGGATTGATTGATTCAATTTTGCTACGTGACTAAATTTCATCCGATTAAGGGTTCAGTTGAGTCAAAATAGAAGATTAAAGGCTCGATTGATTGCAATAAAATGTTAAGAGCTTAAATGAATTTTTAATCATAGTTCAAGGGCATTTTTGATCCTTTAGCCAAAAGCAAAAAATAAGAAATGAACTCAAAACAAGGGATAAATAGAAAAATGCAAAAGCACTAATCAAATGGCGCCTAAATGAGCCACATGTGATCCATGGAAGGATACAACTAGTCTCTACAATCCAATTTTGCTTCTCTTATGGTTTCGAAGTGGGGCTTTGCCTAGTAAATATCCATTGGCCTTGTTTGAACCAATATGGTCTATGTCTAATCAAATAAAGTGCTTAAGGCTAACATATTTGTAGATGACGTATGCATTATTAGATACTTAGAAGCTTTTATAAGAAGGCTTCATGGATTTTCCACCACCATGGCTTGAGGTATGCCTCAATTACATTTTTTTGAATTCTGGCCTTATTAATCGTACTTTTACTTAGAATTGCTCTCCAAGTTAGAAAATTTGTAAGTGCACTGCCAAACAACTGTTCGACCTCTAATGTAAGTTAGAATAATATGTTAAAGGTCAAATATAGTTGATGGACACCAAATATGACAATTTTCAGCACATCTTCTGGTTATTAGTGTTGAATTTAAAAAATAAAAAAGCTTCTATGAAAATAAACCAACTTAACATTATTGTAAGAATCTTTAAATAGGAATTGGGAATTGCGATAGAATGCCTCTCTGCTTAATCTTGCTCTTTTGTTGTTATTCTATGGCCTGGTCAAGGAAGTTGAATTTCAGGATGTAGCTCATTCATATGCACCCAAATTTAGCGTAGCTTTTCTGCTTTTATAATCTTTTTCTTGATTTCACTGTTGTGAAGCTGATACTTGGTTAATTATTTTCAGGATTTCAAGAATTGGGAGCCCAAACGGATTACTGCATTGATCCTCTATATTTTTGTTGCAATAATTTCTTGTCAAAAATTGTATGCTGTCATCCAAGCTCCTCAACTAGATAGAGAAAGAAAACAATTAACAGAGGCTTATATGGAGGCATTGATTCCTGAACCCTCTCCTAGTAATATGAGAAAGTAAATGCATTTCTTTTATTACTTGCAAATGCAGTTAACTAATTTCTTTATATTCTAATAACATACCAGGCTTGTCTATCTAGTTGTGCTTTGGCTGCATGATTTATCAATCAGCATCGAGGTTCATGTTTGTATGAAAGACTTAATTGCCTCCTACATGATTTTCACAATATTGTACCACTGACAATGCTGTTCATTGTTTATCTATTTTCTTGATTTTGAAGTAAGTTGATTAATTTCATGTGTTTGCAGGGATTTTCTAAAATATTGATATAGTTAATATAAAAATGTAATGTCTGACTATGAATCTAAATTCTGACAATGTGCATAGCATCATCTGAGTAAAGGTCTGGATACTCATAGGTGATTATGGACATATGTGATTTTTTGTGTTAACAAGAATATGTTGTGCTTAAATTTACTGAATTCTTGAAGGGAATGTAAGTTGTATCTTCTGCATATGGTCAGACTATTCCCAATCATTTTTGTCTAGTGTCTAGTGTTTTTGAGAAACAAGTAGCATGCATCCTATGATGTAGTTTATTGTTGGTTTATTATAAAGTATCATTTTTTGCCTTTAATTAAATGATATGCTGCTATAATTTATGTGTCTTTCTTGTTTCTATTGTTTCTGAACTTTGTTAACTTGAATTCCTTCTTGTGGTACAAACATTGAAAATGTTAAAAACAATGTAAAGATTCAGCGGTATGGAAGCCTTTCCTACTTTAATTCTAATATTCTCTGGTTTTCATGTAACTACAGGTTTAAGAAGAGTTTATGGAGGAAGACAACACCCAGAGGCCTCAAATTGAAGAAGTTCATTGAAGGACCCAATGGAATGCTTATTCATGATAGCTCTTATGTTGGAGAAAATGCATGGGATGATGATCCAGAGCCTTCTAAGGAGAATGTGAAACAGATTATTGACAGTGATGCGAGATTAAATGCAGAAGAAAAGGAGGAGCTAAGAAAAGACTTGGGCATTCCAAGTTAGTTAATGAACATGAATATACATAACCATCAAGCATTAAATAGCAGCTTTTTATTTTGCTTCCATACAAAATAGTTTTCTTGCATTGTATTTTGAGTTTTCATTTTTAAATGTGTACTTTGTATTCTAGTATAGTAATTCAGTTCATCATCCGTACATGAGTAATGACTTGCTTCCTGCTTTAATATTTTCTGCATGGAAGGTATATAACTTGTGGTTAATATATGAGAACTGGTTTCTTTTTAAAGTCAGGTATGTTTGTCAGGGATTTGGGTTGCATTTTACCTGTCTATAATGATTGAATATTCTCTCCTTTGTGTTTCTTGAACCTTGACAGCCTGTTTTGTTCATGCTTTTCTGGCAGGTGAAGTTCCAGAAAGTATGGGAACATGGCGTGAAAGGCTTCAAAAATGGAAAGCGATCCTCAGAAAGGAAGAGTTATCTGAGCAAATAGCTTCCATAAATGCCAAGTATGTAGTTGAATTTGACATGAAAGAGGTGGAAAACAGCCTTCGCAAGGATGTAGTTGAAAAGGTAACAGAAACACAGGGAACTAGAGCTCTATGGATATCTAAGAGATGGTGGCGCTATCGTCCTAAACTTCCTTATACTTATTTTCTTCAAAAACTTGAATCCTCTGAGGTAAGTTGGTGTTGAATCTTGTTTATTCTTCCTCTGCAGTTGGGGAAATAACTAGTAAATTTTTTGCATTGCATTGCTTGAACATCTTTTCTTGTTTATTTCCCTTACTAGGCTAAGTTTATTTTGTATTTCATTGGTGAATGTCAGTGTTACGCTCTCACACACACACACACATATATATATTTATTTATATATCATAGTTGTCTGGATGAGATGTACACGCTGGTACAATCCTTTTTGCTTTATGTACCCCTCAGTCTCGGTTTATTTCATGTACTGGCATGTTTCAACTGGTTGAAACATTATGTTTCACTGAGCTCAAATCTCATGCTCTTTTTTTATTATGTTTTTCCTTTCAAAATCTGTTGCTTAAAATCTCATAAAATTACTTGAGAACCGCAAACTTAGCACACCAAAAGCCGCAGACACCAATCAATATGCAGTTAGAAAGAGAATTCGTGTTCTGGAGAGATAAAAGTGCTTCAATTTACTTTTCAGAGAGCTAAGGTATTGTTAGTGAGAGATTTGCAAAATGAAAGCCCATGAGGAAGGAAAAAAAATACTACCATGAAAACTGATACCGCAATAGTCAGAATGGTCAATAAATACCATTGGTCATAATGAAACATAGACCATTTGTGCTTCCTGTAAACCAGAACTTAGTGTCTGTCTTTAAGATGAGCATTTAATGGTTTTCTTATTCCAGAAAGTAAAAGCTTCGACTTTTTTCACTTCCGATTTTATCCTCTAGGTGCTTGGTGATTTGAACGGGCTGGTTGTTTATGTAGTAAAAAAATTAAAATGACTTCACCTGTATGTTTGGTTTCACTAAACAAGAAGTAAGGTTTTATTTGGTGGAGTATTTATTAATTACTTTGCTTTAAGAAGGATATTTGTTTACTGTTTAGATGAATCTGATGTTATTTCAAATTTAAATTTTGATATTGTTATAATCAAAGAGCATTATCCATTATATTCTCTCTATTATTAATATTATTCAAATTATTATGAATTATGTAACTTGACTTAAATTTGTTGTTTTTATTTTCATGCATATAAACAAATATATTTGGAATCTATATAATTATACATGCCATAAAATTGAAATGGTACACCGAAATACATTGGTCCCAGTCTGCACCATTTTTCTAAGCAAAATGGAAAGCTGACCGGTACAACCTTTTTATATGTTGTGTGTGTTTGCATGGACATATATATTTGTATACAGACACGTGTGTATGCCTGTGTCATGTCTGCATGAAAGCATGAGCATCACACATGTTCTTGCCCTTGCACACACTTCTTCATAAGCATATTTCCCTTTTGTTTTATATTTAGGGCAAAGGATTTAGATGATTATATGGTATTCCACTAAATTTTAGAAATGGTGCAAATCCAACATAAAAGAAAGGGAGTGGAAACATTCTGAAGCAGAATTCAGGGCTTTAGACATGTCACTAACATATATTTTTTGTCAAAACAATTATTATTGTATTACATTTGTGGGGCACCAAAATGGCTATGGAGGAAGTTTTGATTATGCATATATATATATATATATTTAAAACAGGTTGCTGCTGTTGTCTTCACAGAGGACTTGAAAAGATTGTATGTAACAATGAAAGAAGGCTTTCCATTAGAATATATTGTAAGTGTAACATTTTATTCTTGTTGCTTCTGAAACAGAGTCAAGTACATTATTTTCATAAAATTTGTTGTTACTGTACCTATTTGGCAGGTTGATATTCCTCTTAATCCTCACTTATTTGAGGTTATCTCAAGTTCTGGAGCTGAAGTAGACCTCCTTCAGAAGCGACAGATCCATTACTTTCTGAAAGTTGTGATTGCACTAGTTCCTGGAATATTAATTTTATGGCTTATTAGGGAGTCTGCAATGCTTCTCCATGTCACCTCTAAGCGTTTTCTTTACAAAAAATATAACCAGCTATTTGATATGGCTTATGCGGAAAACTTAATCCTGGTAAAATTTTCATATTTCCTTTTGTTTCTCCCCTGCTGTCAAATTTTCATATTTTAAAATTGTGATTGCATGCTTCACTTATTCAGCCAGTTGGAAATGTTGGTGAAATAAAATCCATGTCTAAAGAAGTTGTATTGGGAGGTGATGTTTGGGATCTTCTTGATGAGCTGATGATTTATCTGGGAAATCCTATGCAATACTATGAAAAAGGCGTTCAGTTTGTTAGGGTAAACTTTTTATACTCAATAAGATGTTTTCTCAGTCTTCTATTGATTTGATAGTAACATAAACATGTCATGGTTATGTCATGACAGGGTGTTCTTCTCTTTGGACCTCCTGGGACAGGCAAAACACTTTTTGCGCGAACACTAGCAAAAAAAAGTGGGCTGCCTTTTGTTTTTGCTTCTGGTGCGGAGTTTATGGATAGTGAAAAAAGTGGTGCAGCTAGGATCAATGAGATGTTTTCTACTGCAAGGAGAAATGTAAGCATTTCTGCTTCCTCCCCCCCCTTCTTTCTCTTTTTGAAATTTTGTTAATTGAGTATCACTAGTAGATTGAGAGTTCCATTCAGGGCTTGTTTATTTATTTACTTTTTGACAAGTTGGAGAACATTTATTTTATGTTGTTGCAACGGTATCTGTAGTACTTTAAAACTACTTTACTCACCTAAATCATGAAAATGAATGGGTAATTTTGACTGAAGCTTAGTTCCAATTGTTTTCTTGGTTTGATTCTATTGAATTTTTGCTTTAAATTGTTTTCAACTTAAATATGGATTCCACTTGCACTCCAAAAATAGATCTTTCAAATTTCTCTATTTATTGTACTTCATGAATAGCTGTTCAAATGTTTAAGAAATACAGTGGTGAGCAAAAATCATGAATGGTTTAAGGAAAATTAACTGCTCATGTACATGCACTTCTTTGTGACTGAAAATTGGAACAATTGATGGATAAAGAAGTTGTCTGCTGTTGCTGTGATTTTGCCCTCGTCTTTTTGTCTTTCTATTCAAAGTAAAAAATTAAAAAAAAAGAAAAGAAAAAGATTTGACTGATAATTAGAATTTAAAACCTAAGAAAAAGTTTGAGTTGATTTGGAAAATACAAGAAAGATATCTTTTATGCTTCCAAAAGTTTTAGAAACAAAAGAAAACAGCTAACATTTCTTTTTTTTTTTTTTTTTTTTCTGGTGAGATCTGACATTCTATGAATACCCTTTTCTTCACCACCTTTCCATGAGAACCATTATCGAGAGTGACTTCCAAGTTTTCAACACATCCATGGCTCTGCCACCTTTCTCAGTTCCCCAGCATTTCAACTTTGCATTATCATGCAACTATCAAATTTGTCATACACTAGTTACCAACTACCATGATTGTCACTTCAATCTTGTAGGTTTACCATTACTATGGTTGCTGCCTGCATCTCCAGCATCATATACATAGCAGGCAACCAACATTTTTAATTACCACCATCGTATTTTGTAATCCATGACTGCTATCACAATTTAGCATCATAATCACTTTCAATCATGACTATTTTTCAATTTTATTATTACTCATCATCGTCATCATCATCACCACTGCCAACACCTACAACAACTTGTAATCTACTTATACTTTGGTCTTGAACCATATATAAATACCTGCAACCAGAAGCATGCGTGTATATATCATTAAATATAATACTTTAGTTTGATTATTTTAAAATTTTGTTATGAGCAAACATGTTTTGTTTAAAACTATAAATTAAAACATGTTAAGTATTATTATTATTATTATTATTATTATTATTATTATTATTAAAACAAAGTAGGGAAATGCTCATGACAATTGCATAATAAGTAATTTCAAGGATTAACCCTTACAGGAACCATTTTGTTCTAATTCTAATGTAGCCAATTCATATGGTGATTTAGAAAGCTAAGGGTCTATTTGGATAGATGGTTAGATTGGTTCCAGTAAAATTAGTTATTATAACGGTAAGATTAAAATCAAAAGTGGGATATTTGTTTGGATGCAAAAGTAGTAGTGGTTGTATAGTGAGGTATTTTGTAGTAAAAAGAAACAATGACCATTAAGTGCATTAGCTCAAAAGTTGTATGTAATAAAAAATTTAAATTATTTAACATTTATAAAATTAACAAATAATTATAAATTATTAAATTATTTTTATGTGAAATAATAGTTTTGTTAATAAATAATTAAAAATTGATAAAATAATAGTAATATATCAAATAATATTTTTATTATATTAATTAACAAAATTATTTAACAAATTTTAAATAAAAAATCGAAATCGAAAAAATGAAAAAGGAAAAATTAAGTTGTAAGGATATTTTTGTATTTACAATATAATTAGAAAGGCAAAAAAGAAAAAAAAAGGCCACAATTTGTGCTGCATCGTGGACATCCAATCGTACCCACATTGGGGGTTTGTTTGCATCCAAATGTGGCCTGAATCAAGTTAAAAAAAAAAAAATTCATCTTAGTACCTAAAAGAAAGACAGCTGGAATTGCATCAAACACTATCTTATATTTGATTGATAATGATAAAAAGTTTTTCTGCCTTCTACCCAAAAGAGTCCTTAAATAAGAGATAAGAGGGTTGCTTAACAATTTAGTAATTATTTGTTTTAGTTGACAGATCATATTCGCTCATAATTCATAAATGATTGAGATAACTCCACTTGAAATCATGACTTAAAAACAAAAGAAAAACAAAATTGTAGTATTCCTACTTAAAATGCACGACTCTTTCATGAATAAAACTTCTAAATTCATCCCCAAGGACATGCGTTCAATTATTTCTTAATAACTGAATCTTGGTATCATTTCTTTTCGTTTTTACTTGATTTTTATACTTTATTGTAGCAGCGTTTCTGTTTGTTCTCAAATAAGATACCAGTCATCCTTGATGAATAATCTGAACACTTATAAGTAAGCATGTTGTCTGGTTTACTTCTAGTTCTTCAAAGTCCCTTTCGTGGAAAAGGTGAGTCAAAGCTAAGCTGTTTCTGTGTTCCACTGCTGTTTCATGCACTATTTTACTTCTTGTGGGACTTAATTCTTGAGCATTTTGACAGTCAAAATCTCCTAAGATTGGTTAGAAAGCTAGTTATATTGGGTTTGAATTTGCTTTTTCTTTTAATTCCTGTATCACTCCCTATATTTATCTCCCCCTTGACCAAAAAGAATGTATAATTTTATCAATGGAAAGGAGAGGACTACTATAATACCAATGAGAGCTGCTTTTGAGGTAGGGTCACTGATCAAAGTTGACAGACCAACCTCCCTAAGGTTATAATGTTATTTTTCCCTGATTTATTAGCACTAGGAGTAATGATGTCAGAAATTTGCTTTTATTTTTTCTGTTCAAATTTTCAATCAATCATTTCTTGATTATTTAAGGTCCATGAGCACTAGCGTTTGGAAAGGTTCTGTTGGAAAATATTTAAGAGAATCTAATTCTACCCTTGTTGATATTCTTGTATGCCTTTAGTTGAACATATTTCTAATGATGGGTGAATGAAACCAAATGCTACATTGGAATGTAACTAAACAGCATTTCATTCCAACTTTCAAGTACTAGATCTAATATATTTGTGTTCTCATTCAAATTTTCTTGTAATAATTGTTGATTTTCTTACTCTAGATCTAGTTTTTTTTCGCTTATCAGAATTACACGAATCCTTTGGTCCAGGCACCTGCATTTGTGTTTGTTGATGAAATCGATGCAATTGCTGGAAGGCATGCAAGAAAAGATCCGCGCAGAAGGGCAACATTTGAAGCTCTCATTGCTCAGCTTGATGGGGAGTAAGTGTTGTAGTTTACCTCAATTTATATGCTAGTATTTGCTCTCATAACCATTCATGGCCTATGGATTTGTTGGAGAATAACTAGAATTTTAGAACAAGGTTTAGATACTTTTTATCTTTACTAATACTGATTAATTGTTCATTTCAGACTTCCATTAGTAAAATACTAATTGCTTATCTTATCTATATTTCTTGTTTCTCATTTTCATTTTAGATTAATAAACTATCAAATCATTTTAACAGAGATCAATTTGTTATGAGTTCTGGGCCTTCTGGCATTGAAGATGACCAAAATGGGACTGACTTGGTAGAGTTTGCCCAGCTGATGTGCCTTTTTTTGGCCTTCTAGTTCACAATTCTCTTTTAATTTTCAGTTTTTCCCCATTTAATCTATGAATGATGTTCACTACTCTATTTTTGGTGCTGTACTGCAGCATCTGGCCAGCTCACAGTTTGAATCCTGAAATGGCCATTTTTGAACCATAGAAAGGAACTCCATAGTTTGTTCTGATGACTTTGTTGAGTAAACTACATTTTCAGGTCTTTTATGTTTGCAAATTAGTTTTCTTATTCTGCTCATTGTCATGTAGGAAGGAAAAAACCGGTGTTGATCGATTTTCACTCAAACAATCAGTGATATTCATCTGTGCTACCAATAGGCCAGATGAATTGGACCTCGAATTTGTTCGCCCTGGATGCATTGATCGCCGTCTATACATTGGTTTGCCGGATATGAAGCAACGAGTGCAAATATTTGGTGTGCATAGTGCAGGAAAGCAGCTAGCTGAAGATGTGAACTTTGAACAGGTAAGTTAATTCACTGTAATTTGAGCTTATGTTTAATTATTTCTGTTTGTCTATTTCTTCGTATGTGTTTCTTAAACTTTATCAGAACCAGGCTAACCTAAATTTTCATGTATTATACATAGATAGATATAAAGGGATAAAGAGTCTGCTGTTGGTAAATCAATAGCATTTTCTTATCATAATTATCATTGCCTGTAACACTTATGTGATGTTTTTCAAATAATTATTTATCATTCTCTTATTGTTAATTAAAATTGTAGGATAACAGTTATTGTACCAATTATCTATTCTCTTCGACTTCAATGCATTCAAATGTAAAGAATATTAGTTTGAGCAAAAGTATCTCTTCTGTAGTTATCATACTTCTATGATTCGTAGGCCAATTGTCCAAGTCATTGACGTTCTCTCTGTTTCTGAGCACAGGAGGGCTCTATTTTCTTTGGAGATAAACTTCAGTTCTCCACATGCAGAATAAAAAAGAATGATAAATAAATTGAAAATCATTAGTATATATCAGAAAAGTAAAATAGTGAGTTCCTTGCAAGCTTTGGCTTAGTTAACACCTTGGCTAAATATAACTTCTTTATTAAATCCTTTTTTTGCAATGTCATAAGCTCTTTAGAGCATTCAATTCTAAATCATTTAGCATTAACTGGAAGGCTCCAACCTCTATATATTGTAAAAGAAAAAAAAAAGACCAAGTTGGTGTGTGCTGTAATAGTACTTAAGGCTTATAGAACGATTGAGAATAATGGGTGTGTCCCCTTCTTTTGGCTATCAACCGTTTTGCTGCTTGGACTATGAAATATTTGATTTTGAGGCAAAGAAACTGGGGCAACAAACAACCTAGACTCTGTTTCTGTGTTGAAGCACCTAACCTAAAAGGTTAACACTGAATTGGCATTAAGCTGAGAGGATCAATTTGAATATAAGGAGAAAGGCAATCTCCAAAGCTAATTGATGCTGAATAAAATACCACTTAAATTAATCCATCAGCAAGCTTCTAGGCTTGGTCCACTTGTACCTAGAATCTTTGTGTTGTGTTTGTTTTGTTCAGGTTACAAGATTCTCTAACCAGCTTTTATTTCTATGTAAAATTAGGTGAGGATGGGATGGCAGCTGCCCTCAAAATTTTATTTTAAGTGATTGTGTAATTTTAATAGTTAGCAAATTAAGAAATTACTCTTTCTTTTCCTTGCCTGAACTTGCCAATAACTCACGCATAGTCTATAAGAAGTGTCATATTGTTTCTTCCAGTTCGAAGGTTCTGCATGATTTTAGAACAGTTCTGTCTTCTGTATCTACAGCACTGAGAAAAATCTATTGAAAATGTTTATGATCTGAATTATTGTAAAGTTCTTATGAGTTAGGGCAGCTGGTTTTTACCAATTTATATTGGTAAATTTATTTGGGTCGTCGCTTCATTGTAATGAAGGAGACAAGCAAACAACTATATCTTTACATCATCAATTTTGAGAAATAAAGGTTGATATATAATTTGATTGAGCAAAATTTGTTTGGTATGGCCTTCTCATTTTATTGTTATTATTAAAAAAAAATTTATTATTATTTGACTGGACAGTTGCACAACCTACGCTCAAGTTATAAGGATAAAATAGACAAATAAATTTAAGTAATTAAAATTTTAAAATAAATGTAAGGAGGAGAGAAAATAGGTTAGCTTTTAATGTGCAAATGGTATTTCAAGGATGAAGAAAGAGAGAGAGAAAAAAAAAAAAGAGGAATGTGAGTTTGAAATGCACGATTAGAGTTGTTCCCTTAGAGAGATGTAGTACTGTGGAAAAACTAAGAAATAAAACTGTGTAGAAAACTAAGAGAAAAACTGAATGTATATTGAAAAACTGCTCATTAAGAATTATACAAGAACCTTAGGTTTATATACAACTAACTAGGGGTTAAACTAAGAAACTAAATCTTCCTAAAAAACTAATCCTATAATTGAGGGATTGTCTATCCTAATTTTTTGTCCTTAATTTTAGAGATACAAATACTTAATTCTAGAGATACAAATATAAATATACAGATTACAAGATTACAAACAGCTGTAAATAAGTGTTTTCCCACACTCCCCTTCAAGTTGGTGAATAGGTGTTTTCCATTCCCAGCTTGGAAATAATTTCTTGAAATGTACTGCTGAGACCTTTAGTCAACACATCTGCAAGTTGACCCTTGGTTGATACATAAGGTGTACAAATCAACCCGTTGTCTAGTTTCTTCTTTATGAAATGCCGGTCTACTTCAATGTGTTTTGTTCTGTCATGTAGCATAGGATTGTGTGCAATGCTTATTGCAGACTTGTTATCACAGTAGAGTCTTATTGGTCCATCCCACTTGATCTTCAAGTCTTCTAGGATAATCTTTAATCATAATAATTCACAAATTCCTTGAGCTATTGCTTTGAACTCTGCTTCAACACTTGATCTTGCCATCACATTTTGTTTTTTACTCCAAGTCACAAGATTACCACCTAAGAAAGTGCAGTAGCCTGAGGTGGATCTTCTATCAGTTACTGAACCTGCATAATCAGCATTTGTATATGCTTCTAGAACTAGTCCCGAATTTCTTTTGAATAAGATACCTCTCCCAGGATTTGCCTTCAAATAGTGCAATATATGGTAGACAGCATGTAGGTGCACTTTTTTAGGACTATGCATAAATTGACTTACCATACTCACAGCATATGCTATATCAGGTCTAGTATTTGAGAGATAAATGAGTCTTCCAACTAATCTTTGGTACATCTCTTTATCTACAGAAGCATCTTCATTAGCTTCTCCAATTTTATGATTAGGATCTATAGGGGTATTTGCAAGTTTACATGCGAGCTTCCCAGTTTCCTTCAGAAAATCCATCACATATTTCTGTTGTGAGATGAAGATACCATGCCATGAGTGAGCTGCTTCAATTCCTAGGAAGTACTTCAATCTCCCTAGCTCTTTTATCTCAAATTCTCTAGCCAAACAATGTTTTAGAGATTCTCTCTCTTTTTCATAATCTCCAGTTACAATTATATCATCAACATACACTAATAGAATTGTGACTCTCCCTGAATCAGAGTGCTTGATAAACAATGTGTGATCTCCTTGACTCTGTTTATATCTCATTGCTAGCATCACTTTGGCAAATCTCCCGAACCAAGCCCTAGGAGACTGTTTAAGGCCATATAAAGCCTTTTTCAGCCTGCATACTTTGTTTGCTTCTAGATGACTTCCAAATCCCGGTGGAACCTTCATATATATTTCTTATTCCAAATCACAATGTAGAAAAGCATTCTTTACATCAAATTGTTGAAGCTGGCAATTGTAATTTGCTGCCAATGATAACAAAATCCTAACTGTATTCATCTTGGCAACTGGAGCAAAGGTTTCCTAATAATCCACTCCATAGGTTTGAGTGTAGCCCTTAGCCACTAACTTGGCTTTATACCTTTCAACAGTACCATCCGCCCTGTATTTTATAGTGAAAACCCATTTACACCCCACCGGATTTTTTCCTTTAGGCAACTCTACCAGTTCCCATGTCTGATTTTTCTCTAAGGCTTTCATTTCTATTTTCATGGCTTACCTCCATTTCTCACTGGATAATGCCTTGGATAATGTAGTTGGAATAGAAATAGTGTTTAGGCTCACAAGAAAATTTTTGTGGGATGGTGAGAATTTTTCAAATGATACAAAATTAGAGATTGGGTATAGTGGATGTTTTTGGTTCCTTTCCTAATGGCAATAGGCAGATCATAATTACTAGTTATAGTTTTAGGAGATTCATGCTCATTTTAAGAAACAGAGTCAAAAACTGTAGTTACCTCATTTCCAGAGTTAGGATTAGGTTCTTGGACTGGCATTGGTTCAGGATCTGGAATTTTCCTTCTTGAGTACACCTGTAATTCCTTCATAGAATCAAGAACAATATTATCCTTTGTCACATCTTCTGTATTTGGAATAGGTTCAAACTCAAATTCAGTGGTTGACTTGGGCTCAGCAGAAACAAGTTTCGACTAAGAAGAATTAATGGGTGAAAATGTTGAAGAAGGGGACAAATCAAGCAAAAAAAGGTCTTTATCCTTATCTTCCATGAATGAAGTCTCCCCCTGAAGATAAGATTGAGTAAAAAATAGTTTACTTTCTTCAAAAGTGACCTTTGCAGACACAAAATTTTTTGGTAGGAGGATGATAGCACTTATATCTTTTTTGAGTTGAGGAATACCCCACAAAAATACACTTAGTAGCTCTTGGATCCAACTTTTCCCTGTTATGACTGTGAACATGAACAAATGATATACAACCAAATATCCTAGGTGTGAGATTGTTTGTGGTATTAAGGTTGGGATAAAATTGTGAAAGTAGTTCCATAGGAGTTTTAAATCTCAAAACCCTTGAAGGTAACCTATTTATAATGTGTGTGGCAGTGAGAACAGCTTTCCTCCAGTAAGATTTAGGTACATTTGCTTGAAAAAGAAAAGCTCGGGTTGTGGCTAGTCAATGGCTGTTTTTCCTCTCTGCCACTCCATTTTGCTGTGGAGTATTAACACAAGATGACTCATGGATAATTCCTTCTTTTTGGAAATAGGTGGATAGACTTTGGTTGAAATACTCTCTTGCATTATCAGACCTAAATCTCTTGATTCTCACTCCAAATTGATTTTGGATCATGTTTTAGAAGCTTAAAAATATACCATTCACATCTAATTTGGATTTAAGTAAAAAAACCCAAGAGACCTTGGTACAATCATCTATGAATGAAACAAATCATCTTGCACCAGAAATATTAGGAATTGTAGAAGGGCCCCAAATGTCACTATGAATCAAGTAAAAGAGAGTAGAAGTTCTTTTGTTACTAATTGAAAAAGACACGTCTATGCTTTGCAAGTCCGCAAACATCACAATGAAAATCCTCGACATTTAATCTTTTGAACAAAGAAGGAAACATGTTTCTCAAAGTTCCAAAAGAAGGATGTCCAAGACGAAAATGATAAAGCCAGATTTTGTCTTTATTGGAAGATTTTTCAGAAAGAAATGATAAAGGTAAACTATTCTTGATATTACTTGTGTTATTTGATGTCTCAATATAATATAGTCCATCCTTCTCCTTAGTAAGTCCAATCCTCTTCTCCGAACTCTGGTCCTGAAATTCACAATAAGAGGGATAAAAAGTCACTTTGCAATTCATATCTCTGGTAAGTTTTTGTATAGATATCAAATTAATAGACAATCTAAAAACATGAAGAACATTTTTGAGAACAAATGAGGGATTAACTTGAACATCTCTTAATCCTGCCACTGTAGTAAGTGAACTATCTGCAACAACAATTTTCTTATTACTAGGACACAGGGTATATGTACTAAACTTCTGTGAGGAATGTCTCATATGGTCTGTGGCTCTTGAGTCAATGACCCGAGAACTCGTAATAGGCTTAACCGAAACATTTAATTAATGAGAACCAGAAGCTTTACCTGAGCTAGAGATCTTACCCAAGGAACATACCACAGTAGGCTTTTCAAGGATTTTCAATAAGTTTCTCAGCTTTTCAATCTCTTCCCTATGGAACTCTCCTTGTTTCCGAGACATCTGTAGTACTCCAGTTATTTTCCCAGTTGACACTTCCTCAAATTGGGTGGTAGTGATATCTTTCTTTGAAAGGGTTCGGCAATGAAGATTGAAAATTTTGCTTCCCAAGAAGAGCCTAAAGCTCTGATACCATGTGGAAAAACTAAGAAATAAAATTGTGTAGAAAACTAAGAGAAACACTGAATGTATATTGAAAAACTGCTCATTAGGAATTATACAAGAACCTTAGGTTTATATACAACTAACTAGGGGTTAAACTAGGAAACTAAATCTTCCTAAAAAAACTAATTCTATAATTGAGGGATTGTCTATCCTAATTTTTTGTCCTTAATTCTAGAGATATAAATACTTAATTCTAGAGATACAAATATAAATATACAGATTACAAGATTACAACTAGCTGTAAATAAGTGTTTTCCCACAAGTACAACCTTTTTGGTGCAGTAATGTTCACAATATTGCATATCAGGTTTTTTTTTGGTTTCAATCACACACACTAACTTTTTGAATTTGAATGATAAAATAATTTGGTTTTGGGCTAATTGTTCTCTCCTCTTCTCCCATGCTATAGCTTGTATTTCGCACAGTTGGTTTTTCTGGGGCAGATATCCAAAATCTTGTCAATGAAGCTGGAATAATGTCAGTAAGTATTATTTTTTCATTTATCCAAAAATGAATTCTTTGTTATATGATTATTATGAAGTCTATGCTTTTAGTCTACTCCCAAGTATGCTTCAAGCCCTCATGACAGCTATCTTTGAGATATAACTATTTCCATGTCAGCAATGCTTATTGTTAAGCATGACATACTGATTGTGTTACTTCCACTATTAATTATTGTGCTTGTGTATAATATAAATGAGTAATTAACTTTTTCATAACCTCTTTAAAGTTATATGTTGTCTAACTTTATGAATTTTTCAATTAACCAACTCAAAATATGAATCATGTCAAAAACATAAATTATTTCGAAACCAACAATCGGAAATCCTTTCAACCCTTAGCACCAAAAAAGAAATGCTATGTCTGCATATTCTGTTTAACCTGCCCGTTCTCTGTAGTTGCCTAGAAATTTGTAGTTTCTTTGTCTCCTAGTTGGTCCTATCTCATTTGTTAGTCATAGGAATATAATTGGAAAGTTTAGGGTTTAAAACCTAGTGCCCACCATTTGATTGGCAAATATGTGCATGATAATAGAATTACCTTAAGAATTTGTTAACACATACAGACAATTATGTATATTGTTTTCTTTTTCTCTTTATGTCAAACTAACGGTAGAATTTTTAAATAATACACATGCACATAGAAACTTATTTATACATGTCATATCATTCTGTGCGCTAATTTGTAGCTATGCCCATGTCTTTTTTGATATTTGAGGCTGCCAAGAATTGGACCTTGGTCACCAAAACTATAAGTCCAACATTCTGCCAACAGACCACACGGCTGTTTGCACGTGCTACTTTCTTGTTTCCGTTTCCATGCTTCCTAACCCTGAAGCTTGGTTGAAAAACTTTGGACTAAACTGTGCTGATCTCTCATGCAGATTCAACAAAAGTTATTTGTTGAATGGTTTCCTAAGCTCTCGAGTGTCTGATACATTTAATTACATATCTTATTGCAGGTGAGAAAAGGACATTCCAAGATCTTCCAGCAAGATATTATTGATGTGTTAGATAAACAATTGCTTGAAGGTATGGGTGTACTCCTTACAGAAGAAGAGCAACAAAAATGTGAAGCAAGTGTAAGTGCTGAAGTCTATCATTCTCAAATAGTGCTAATAAATATGCAGCTTCTTTGTTGTAATATGCCACAAACTTTAAGAAGTTTGATTTCCATATCTTCTGTTCCAAAGTTGCATCTACATGTAGCGATGGTTGCTAGTTATAAAATTTCAGGAAAAATCATCTCCTAGAGGCCTGATGCTGCCTAGCTCTAAAACCATGAATAGAAACAAGAAAAAAAATTCCAATTTTATGAGAATCTCCTAGGGTATGCATTTGGTGGAGAGTAATAGAAGCATGTGGAATAACGAGTATTTCCTTTTCTAAGTTACTTTCCATTTTTTATTGGACATTTGAAAATGAAAGGAAGCTGATCTTTATGTAGTAGCATATTTTTCTGACTTGTGGTTGATGTAATATAGGTATCTTTTGAAAAGAAGAGATTTCTGGCTATTCATGAAGCTGGTCACATAGTTTTAGCTCACTTGTTTCCTCAATTTGATTGGCATGCATTTTCTCAGCTCCTGCCTGGTGGCAAGGTACAAATTTGATATCAGCATTTAGTTTCTATTTGATGTCTTTTTATGGCTTTTCCATTTGTATTTTCCTGTTTTTTGTTTATTTCTCTGTTTTTCCCCAACATGAGTAGGAAACTGCAATATCTGTATTCTACCCACGTGAAGAAATGGTAGACCAAGGTTATACAACATTTGGCTACATGAAAATGCAAATGGTGGTAGCTCATGGTGGGCGTTGTGCTGAACTTGTTGTGTTTGGTGATGACATAACTGATGGTGGAAGGGATGATTTGGAAAAGATAACAAAGGTGATTACATTTACTTTTTGATAACATAATTTAAATGCATTGCTCATTTGAGGGCATGCAGTACTTACCATTGCCCCAAGTAAAAACTAGATCAAATTGAACTCAAGACCAGGCATGCATGGTTCTGTTAACAACAATGAAGAGAATGATTGTTTTCAGTCTTCCTCATTTTTTTTTGTTTTGACTCTTGTGCAACCTTTTAGCGTCTAACAATTGCTCTAGGACATGGTTAGCCTCTTCACTTTTTACATTTTCACAACTCACCTTTCAGATTATAAGAGGGCTTTTTTCACTTAGTTGTAGGCTCCAAGAAATTATGTCTATGAAGTATGAGCTGAGGTTTTAATATCAATTCATATTTTTAGATGCCCCTTATTTTAGCATCATATTTCTCTTTTAGGGGTGGAGGTATCTAAAGTAAATGCATTTCAGAGTATCTTAATTTGCAGTGGTCTATATTTTTGTTTTTCATATGAAAAAGTACCCTTCAAATCTTGTTTTTCTCACTCAATGTGTCTCTTCAGATTGCAAGGGAAATGGTGATCAGTCCGCAAAATGCAAGGTTAGGGCTTACTCAACTAACAAAAAGACTGGGAATGTTAGATCGGCAAGATAGCCCGGATGGTGAATTAATAAAATATAGGGTATAACTCTCAAGTGGCTAAGTTTAACAAAAACAATTTGAATAAGTTTTCCTCCCTTTTTTTGATTAATTCTTTCTTTCCTATTCCTTTGTTGTGCTAGTGGGATGACCCTCATGTAATTCCTGCCAATATGACACTTGAAGTATCTGAGCTGTTTACTCGAGAGTTGACAAGGGTAATTTTAGCTTGCTCTGTCTTGTATGACTGTTCAATGCTAATTTAACAAGGTAGCAATAGTCTATTTGTAGTAGTTGCTACTGCCTGCATGGAAGTTACAAATATCTGTTTCTTTATAATCTGATTACCATCTGTGAAGAACAAAATATAGTGAAAATATATTTTTTATTTTTCATACAAAGAAGAGAGGTTTTTAATGAGATCTTATTTTCTTAAATATCTAGATGGTTGAAGTAAATAGCTGCAAAAGAGGTGCATGCCTTTATGGTACTATGACTGTACAATTTTTGTTTGCTCAACAGGCAGTGAGATGCTTTTGATGAAAGATATGTTTAATTTTTCTGATCCTTTTAACTTCAATTGAAATTATGATGCTTGTTGTTCATGCAGTACATTGAAGAGACGGAAGAGCTTGCAATAAATGCTTTGAAAGACAATAGACACATACTTGATATTATTGCAAAGGAACTGTTGGAAAAGTCAAGGATAACAGGATTGGTATGCTAATAACATACACCATTCCATATTTTAGTTGAATTAATGTCAGATAGTTTTGTTGATTTGTTGCAGTGATAATCTTTAACATTCTTGACATCATCTCTTAGAATAAGTCATAATTCAGTTCAGCCCTTTAACCAACTTGTTTGTTGTGTCCTTGATCCTCTATACTCTGCTTTCGATCTCTTTTGTTGCCCTTTTTGGTTTTGTAGAAACTGCTAATTCACGGATGCAGTTCATTAGCTACATCTTCATGTCACGTGTTGTATGCTTTCTATCATATGATTGTGGAAAATGCCATGATTGCCCATTCTCAAAGTGTACAGTTGACATCCTATCCCTCAAATTACCTGTATAAAAACAATATACAGTGCTTGAAGCAGAAAGTGAAGAAGTAAGATTATAAGAATTATGTTAGGAAAGTGAGGGGGGAAATAATGTGCAAGTACATTACTAATAATAATCATGTTCTGTAACTATTAGTATGATCTGGTAGTGAAGGACTTTATGAGAAGAGATTTATCATACTGCATTGTGTCCTGCAGACCTCCTGAGATCAATACGTGTATTTCCATTACAACCATGTCCTATACCCACTTTGGCAACTATTATCTTTGTATTTAGTTATAACCTTTATGTTGACATCAGTTTCACAATCTTAGTTGTGAACAGTAATTGGCCTATTACATTGGTTAGATCTCTCTGACTGTCTTATTAGGTTCCTGTTGAAAATGAACTGAACTTTTCCAGTTGATTTGGTCAGAGTATGGCATTTAAATTAAAGTGACCAGCTGATCCTGATTAAAAAGAAGACCTTATTGGAATTCACTAACCGCTTCTTTTACTGCTATTTTGACAATGTGGCTGTGCATTTAGCAGTTATTTCTCTTTATCTTGTGCTGTTTTCTTCCAAATCATGGAGATTATGCAAGAAAGTTCATTCCTTCTTTAAAAATGAATTAGCTTTCACAAATTAGAGCATGAGAAAATTAAGCATGCAAGGAGATTGCAAAATACTATTAGAAACATATACCAAAAAATGCTGTACAGCATGTTGAATGTTGAAATTATGCAAATTATTACCAAACGCTAAGGGCCAGATCTTATGAAAGGGGAATTCTATTCAATTACACTTGCACTAGTCTAGTGGACCATGATTTACTAAAATTATGACATGTTAACTGAATTAAGGTTGGGAGACTACGTCCATCCCTGAGTAAAATTCTATATTATTTGGCATCCGCCATGGGCTGCTGTATCAACTATGGAACTCCTATAATTTGGCTCTAGATTTTTGTTATGCACCCTGCTAAACATCTTGAGTTGTCTCTTCTTGTAGGAAGTTGAAGAGAAAATGAAGGGACTCTCTCCAGTGATGTTTGAGGATTTTGTCAAGCCACTCCAGATCAACTTGGATGAGGTATTTTTATTTCCGTTTCAACAACTATGATAATTTATTACAGATTTGAGAAGATAAGGACAAAGAAAAATTTAGGGACCCTCTGACTGTTGGAAATAATTTAATACAATATTAGTTCTTCTAGCATGTATTATATGGACGTCATTCCTTGGAAGATCTGCTTTTGTAGGCTAATTAAACTGACCAACTGTTGCGGGATTTATTATTTATGGTTTTGCATGACTTGTTTATGCATTTTTATTCCTCTTTTTGTCCAAGTTGCTTGTACCTTTGTCGAACTCACTAGGCTAGTGAAATCTTCTTTGCCTTGTTTTGGATCAAATTTACTGCACTTATTGAACTTTCTTGTTAAATTTCACAGGAGGGACCATTGCCTCATAACGATCGCATACGATATAAACCTCTGGACATATATCCTGCTCCCCTTCACAGATGTTAATGGTCCTAGATTTCGGGGACAAATCCTGGCATGTTGGTTGTTGGATATCAAGAGGCCAAAAGTCCTGCCCCACCTCCCAAATTTCCATAATCATATCTCCTAAACTTGGGATTTTTATGGTTGCTTGAGTTATCATATATAAAGAGCTTTGCTTTGTCCCTCATGAAATCTTGCTAATTAGGATGTTCATGGTCATAATATAATTATTTTTTCTGAAGTAAGATCATTGAAGCTTTCATAAATGCTAGATGAATTCCAGTTAGATTTTTCATCAATTTGGAACCTAGATCACTATAAGTGAGTGGATGATCCTGATATCCATCGGCTAGCCAGCTCTAAACAGTTCATTTCAACTATTGAAGGAAATCCAGGAATGCAGCTGTGCTTCCTCCAATGAGGCAAGCAAGCATCATATTTACATGTATTATTGTAGTGCAGCTTTGTTGTAAGTCTGTTGTTTATCTGAATTGGAAAAGGTAAATTTTCTGGAAGGTTTTGTCTACTTGCATTCAGATTTAGTTGAGAATCTTATCCTGTATAGTGTTTACATGCAGAAAAAGAAAATATGAGAACTTGTAGAAGTCTAGGATCTTTAAACTTGTTTAATCCCTTGTTCTAGAACTGAGCCAGTAGCTTGAACACTATTGTGAACAGTTAAAAACTGATATTTTATATTCATGATATCTGATCTTTTAGCTTTATAATTAGGATTGCATATAAACATATCCGTGGAAGATGATTGGCGTATATCTAGATGCAGTTTTGAAAGCATCAACAATGCTTTAGATTACTGTGACGATGTTCAAACTAAAGCATTGACTAGGTTAAAGGAACAGCTGAAACGTGATTTAAAGATTCCTCAGAATTGAGAAGAAGCTTTTTCCTATGTCATGAAAGCATGAGAAGACTTTATTAAATGGCTTGGTAAAGCAGTTTTTGTCTGGTGAATTGATTACTTGTAGTAGTTGTTGAAGGGCGAAATGTTCAGATATGAAACTATAGTTTCATCTATATGTTGAACCACTTAGATGATCATTCCATCAGGGTGGTTGGAACTACAAGAGCTTTGTCTCTACATCTCTTGTCGGCTGGCTCAACCAAAGTCCTCCAACCTTCAAAATTCACATATACATGGATTAAGAGCTCAAAATTTTCTCAGTAAATTACTAAAGTAGGAAAAACAATGTCGAGAAGAGAAAATGTAATCAAGTGCCAAGTTTCTAGTAATGGAATCAACAGCTGCCTAACAGATTGAAAACACTGCAAATAAGAGTAACTCGAGACTAAAAATATCCATCGCAGGAAGAAAATTATGGACGAACCTTGGCTGCAGAGACAGGTATTTGATAACACGCAGCTGCGTAATGTTCAAAATTAATCCACCCCCAGTGAGTTCCTTCCATGTCCACTCTTTTTGAGATACTTGAGTGCTCCATGGTGCCAACGGAATCAGCATCCATAACTGCAGGTGTGGGTAAGAACAAGTGCATTTATCTAAGACTTTTACAGAGCATATAAACGAAAGGTGCTTTTGAAAGCCTAATTCCCATAATATGAAAATATTAGTTCGCTTATAAGAACAAAATCTCAAATAAATTCAGGAAAAGAAAAATAATTGCTAAAGGTTCAAAATGTTGTCGTAGATAAGGCCAAAGATAATTGAGTTGAACTTGAAAATTGCCCTCATCATTTTAGATGACCCTGTAATCAATGGCAGATTCATGATTTTTTTTTCTATTGTCATAGAAGAATAAGTCATCATGGCAATGAACTTCAACATCTTTTATATGTCAAGTTAAATTTCAAATTTTCTCATATTTTTATACACCAAACATGTTCATTGATGTAGTAAAAGTAACTTACATTGCTAATAAACTTTGCCCTAAACCATGTTGTATGTGCATCATGAGTTGGAGGAATGACTTTTATTCCATTGGATAGAGAAGAGGAAATCTAACCCTTTTAGGAACAGTTTAAACATAACAAAGTTAGATACATCATTCTGGCTTCTTAACTCAAAATGAGAATAAAAAGGAATGATAAAGATTTATAATACATATTCTACATGCATATCATGATAAAAATGCACTTCTCTCTAACAAAACTACAATTTTGAACCAAGCATCATTACTTATTAATTCTGCAGCATGGCAATGGTCTATGCAAAGTGCCACTGATGCAATCCCTAACATTCACATGTATCTAACACTTAAAACTTCTATTTTTTTTCTTGTAAGAAGCAAAACATATACATGAGTTACCTTCAAAGTAAGGAAAAGTATCAAAAATAGTGTCAAAAAAATTTCACAGAAAAGATGTTGACTTCTCACCCAAAAGTTATAGCCTTTATACTACCATGAATTAACTGCAGTATATTCTCAATCCCCGTGGGTCATAATAAGAAATCTCTTAAGCTTTCTAATAAACAAAAAATATAATCAAGAAAGTTGTCAATGCAAGGGAGCCATTAAAACCAAACATGTGTTCCTTCTTTCCCTATTTTTATGTGGAAATAAGAGTAGCAAAAGATTTTGGTACCATTCTATATCATCGGATCAATAAAAAATTATTATGAAAGGCAAATGAAACAATCCTTAAGCAGAAAAAAATCATTAATGGATTATGGTAAATTTATATTGTCTCTAAAAGTTCAACATACATACATTGGAGGCAATTCTAATTGATCAATTATTCAAAAACTGAACACATAAAGTAATAAAAGTTAACTTAGCAATACTTCTCAAACTATTAAAAGGAAAAATTATGGATTTATCTTAAACAATTACCTAGATGTACTAACAAGCTTTTGTTTGGTTATATATGCAACAAACTATTGTAAGAAAATAAGTTAAATGTTTGAGAACACTTTACCTTTTTCAGGGCGCGAGCCAAGTTAAATAAGAGACAATTGATATATGTCAGAATAAAATGTCAAAAGGAAATGCATAAGAGTTCAAAAGGCATCAGAGTTTGTCATTGATAAACTGCATAAGTAAAAATAAAATGATATGGAGTCAATCATAACCCTGAACCATTGTAAATTAAATCAACAAATTTATCAAATCATTGCTTAATATTCAAATTAAAGCAATTCCCCGTTCATGTTACTTTATAATTGAATGAAAAACACATTGTATAACCAAACTCATTGTTAAATAAAATGGAACGACTCTTGAACAAATATCCAAAAGAAAATGATTAAACCTTCTTTTTGAAAGCAGGCAATTTGTTAGAACATGAGATATTCCTTTGTAAACAATCACGTTGTGGTATCTCCTTTGAAGCATGTCTATCCATTATGCAAACTAAATCAGCAAACTTTGATAGAGTATGAGGATAGATAAAACGAAGTTTCTTGGATTTGCATTCACAAAGGTGTCTCCAATGCTGCATGATACACAAATGCAGTTAACAAATCAAAATAAAACATGGAAATTGGAAAGTATCAATGGTAAAGGAGGACTACAACATGGGACAATCACAAAGCAAATTCATAAATTCTAAACTCCTATCCGTTTCAAGAATTTAGCCTCAAAAGGAAGTACTAACATTGGGTGGCTGAAAAACCATCAGAATGCTTGCATTACTAAAAATCTCATCATTTATATACGAAATGCATTAAGCTTAAATGCATGAAGCTTTTATATGTATAAAGTTTCCAGCCATCTAGCATAAAAAAAAACTAACCTCAATAAATATGGCCAAATAAAATGAAAAAGCTATGAATCCTGAAATTCTCTTTTGAAAGTATAGATAGTGAATTTTGCAAAGGATGGCCAAGCAACAAGAATTTAAAATAAAGTATAGATAACTTACATATAATGCATGTTAAATACTACAAAAGTCACCAAAGGAGATTTTCTCTTCAGTACCCACAAATGAAGGAGATTCCTATGTTGAAATGGAAATGATCTTATTATGCCAATTTTCCAAAGCCTCTTTCTTATGTTCTTTCTTTATATATTTTAAGTAATTCTTAAGCTTATGCTTTGCTATCCCAATCATTCTACTCGAAATCAAACAACGCAAATGCTTCTTTATAAGTTTATAACAAACTAAAATCCTAACTTTAAATTGGGAAAGTAATAAATTGAAAAATTATAAAAACTTACCAAAATTTAATCCTCGAGAGTAAGATCTAGGGAATGCAATGCAAAATTTCCTAGCTTCTGAGAAAAGGCGAGCATAAAATTATCATATAAAAGGTATCTAGGGTGACAAAAAAAATTGATCGCATGCTTTTGGAGAAACGTGGCATTCCATATAGTCCAAATAGTAAACTAACATGCTCAAAATGCATGAGTTTAATAAAGCACAACATAATAAAAAATATAAGCAACAACATGAATGACAAAGAAGAAGATGATTAGATAAACTTACCAGCTCAAATGCTTCATACCATATTTCAAATCCCAAATTATTTTTTTGTTTTCCTCCCACTTGATTCATTGCAAAACAAACTTTTTTTTGGGCTTTCGTAATGGGTTTTTTCAAAACAGGACATATATTGTCCCTTATGTTTAATAAAAAAGGAAGTCTTTTGTTTTTTTTCCTGGAAAACGCCAAGATGAATTGAGGGAAGGAAAGGAGATGAGAACATTTTGAACGAAAGAAATAGATATTCGCAAACATACACCAATGCGCATTTCATTCAATCCTCCATTACTTTTCACTGTTAAATACCGGTTGGGTCCTTGCGCAGCTGACATAGCATAAAATGGAATCAGAGAAAAACAGAATTGTAGATTACAAACAGATAAACAAATAAACAACTGCATATTGAGTAAAAGAGTATGCTAAACAAAACAAATGTTCCAAAAGAAAAGGGATATTCTTCCAACAGAGTACAAACTAAACAAAATAATCTAACACCGAGTCTTAATCAAATTTTCAGTAATTTCTCTTTCAATATAACAAAATTATCTGCGAGATAAAAAGTGTAATAATCCTATCGTTATCATTGAAAGTAGTTTCCACTATGTTTTGCACCGTAATAAAAGTTTTAAAGTGTTTTGGTTATTTAATCATAATATTTTGAATGAGAAAACACTAATTAAACAAATTTGAAGTGCAAAAGGAAAATTGTTGAGAGTAGCAACTAAAGCTATACAATAATTTTATAAATTATAATTAAATAGCATTAAAGTTAGAATAAATAAGAGACCAAGAATCTTCCAAGTTTTAAAAGAAAATAATAATATTAATAATAATAATCAGTTAGATTATCACTTGGAAAAGAAACGGAAAATGGCTAATTAAAACGGGTTCAGACCCATACCCGGATCAGCATTCAAGTCCAAACCCACGTTTTCCTTCTTCTTCTTGTCGCCGTTTACCTGATCAATGTTCCCTTCCAAATTCAGGGACTCCACCTTCCCAGTTGCGTTAAGTTGCCGATATCGCCGTTAGCCTTCTTGAAATAATTTACCTCCATGTGCATCTTCCTGAGGATCGCGAAGATTTCCTCCACCTCCTCCTCTGTCACGGTCGTCCCCCCCCCCCCCCCTCCCCATTATCGGCCTCTATCGCCCTCTTGTTAGATCCTCCCAGAAGGGCGTTGTTCACGTTTGACTTTTCAAAATAAGAATAATGCCTAGATGGTTGTGAATTTGGGTATATAATTTCAGTAAGTGTAATAAGACAATGTCCCATTTTTCAAAAGCCTCAAATATAACCACCCATCAACAGAAACAGAAGAAATATTGAATCGCAGACCTGGAGAAATTGAGCTTGAGGTTGGAATTCGTGGGAGATAATTGGGATGTGTTGGTCTTCCACAATGTTACCAGCAATGAAGACAAAAATGAAGATTGAGAAAGCAAAATGAATAGATTGCGTAAAGTGTAAAGGTCACGTGAAAGTTTTGAAAGGGTTAGGTAAGAGCTGGTAAGACAATTGTTTTGCTGTCTTTCATTTGCTTAAAAGAAATTTTAAATGGCCAAAAAAATAAAAAAAAAAAGCAACATTCGGGTTGGTCAGTAGACTACGTTTTCCAAATTAAAAACGTAATCTTAAGCTCTAGCAGTGTTTTCGCTACGATTATGAATCAATTCACATAAATCAATTTATTTATTTATTTTTATTTTCTAAAACATGTTGTTTTCTCCTAAGCCAAAGAATAACCGCACGGGCTTATTTTTCCCCTTCAAATCTTAAAATATGCAAACCAAACCCCACTTAAAAATTCTTTCTCTACCCTAGAAAATCGTGACGCCGAAACCCAACAGAAATTGTTGTTTCATTCTTTATTAAAAATAGCCTTTTTTTTTTTTGTCATTTTCCTCATAAGAAAAAACCAGCGCCCCATACGACATCGTTTTGCTGCTGCATCAAAATTTGTGTTCGTTTTACTTTCTATACCTGCAACAGGAAAAACCTAGTATTTCAAATTCTCAGAGGTTTCTCTCACTTTCGCTTCAACCAAACATTGAACCGATCATTCTCTGTCTCAAACAAAAAAAAAAAAAATTGAAGTTATCATGGATCAAGAAGGACAAGGAGAAGAAAAATCTCCAACTCTAATTGACAAAAACTTTCCTCTTTTCTCCAGACCCCGCAAAACCAAACCCAATACAACCCCTAAACCCTCTCAAAACCCTAATCCCCAAGCTTCCCAAATCGAAAAGTTTTCCTACTCTTCAGCCGCCACCACCGCTGCTTTCTCCGAGCTGGGCCTAGGCGAATGGGCAATCCAAACATGCAAAGAACTCGGAATGCGAAAGCCCACGCCGGTCCAAACCCACTGCATACCCAAAATACTTGCCGGTCGTGACGTGCTGGGGATTGCCCAGACAGGAAGCGGCAAAACGGCGGCGTTTGCTCTACCAATATTGCACCGTTTAGCGGAGGATCCATATGGGGTTTTTGCGCTGGTGATCACCCCGACGAGAGAGCTTGCTTTTCAGTTGGCTGAGCAGTTTAGAGCATTGGGGTCTTGTTTGCATTTGAGGTGTTCGGTGGTCGTGGGTGGAATGGATATGATTACGCAGGCGAAAGCCTTGGTTTCGAGGCCACATGTGGTTGTGGCTACCCCTGGAAGAGTTAAGGTTTTGCTGGAAGAGAATCCTGATATTCCTAAAGTCTTTCAAAGAACTAAGGTAAATCCCCATCTTCCTTTTTATTTGTTATTTTTTCATAAGGTCATAGCGTGCAGTTTGATTACTGTTGTTCTCTAGTGTATGAATATGCAGTATGATGATTTCAAAATGACACTGATAAATTTGGGAATGAGGGATGAAACATTTAAACTAATTGACTATGTATATGTTTCTATCTTTCAAGTTTATCCAGTTAGTGTTATAATTGTTAAAATCTAGGAAAAATTAAGATGTTGGGTTTAATAAAAATTTCCATTTGTAGTTAATTTTCTATAAAATGATTTTGAACACTTTGTTTGCTATTCAAAAATCTGAGGATAAGATGCCTGGTTATATGATGGGATTAAGGAATATAGAAGGTTGTCTACTCAATGTTTCATAAGTTTGTGATTGAATCTAAATTATTTTGTATTCATTGCTTATTATTAGTTGACTGGAAATTTTGATTATTTTCAGGAGGAAATTGTGATAAATTTATTGGGAGTAAAATTGTTAGTGAATTGTCTCATAGAGTGATTGGAACAGGATACTTCCTTCGACCTACCCTTGATAGCCATGCATGAGTTAGCAAAGCAGGATAAGATTGTTGAGATCGTATGTCTTACTACATGCCTTTTTTAAACCCTCCGTGATAAATAAATAAATAAATAAACTCTTTTTTAAATTGTTCCTCATTTGCATATTCCTTGTGATTATTGTTATTATTTTGTTTTAGTTTTTAGTTTTGGACGAAGCAGATAGAGTTTTGGATGCTGGCTTTGAGGAGGAACTAAGGGTGGTTTTCCAATGCTTGCCAAAAAATCGGCAAACTTTGTTATTTTCTGCAACAATGACTGGTGACCTGCAAACACTGCTTGAGCTTTCTGCCAACAAGGCATACTTCTATGAGGCTTATGAAGGCTTCAGGACAGTTGAAACGCTTAAGGAACAATATATTTTTATCCCAAAAACTGTGAAGGATGCTTATCTTGTACACATTTTGTCTAAAATGGAAGATATGAATATCCGCTCAGCCATTATATTTGTCTCAAGATGCAGGTATCAAACCTTTGGAGTCATGCTCTGATTATTTTATTTATTTATTTATTTTATTTTGAGAATCAGTATTTTTTTTTTCTTTTTTTCTCATCATGCTAATAGCTTCTATTTTGGTTCAAGTTGGGTACAACATTCCAACTAGTAGATGTTACATTAGTTGTGTTCCTTTTTGTAGATAGTATCTTTGTCAGAAATTATTTGAAGTCAACCTTCATTTTCATTTGTCTATAATTTCCTGGTTCTTTGATCTTCCTACCCCTCCTTTTCCTCTCTCCTTCTGATATACCATGCAGTATCTTGTGAAAATTAATTTCAACCAGTGGTGAGAGTTTAAAATAAATAATAATTGGAGTAAAGCTTGATTTTCGGCGGTTTCATCGTTAATGAATGCAGTTGGGGAAACTATATACTGTGATGCTAGAGAACTTTGGAAGCATTGATAGATGTAAATAGGATGAGATATATTAAAGTTTACCACAGTAAGGCTCCTGGACACACCTTCCTTGTATTGTGAAATTACTGAAAAACTTTGTGTGCTAATTTTATGACTCTAAACAAAAATCAATGATTAACCAGTACTATGAGAAGACTACACATGGCCGTGATAAGCCCCTAATCTAGGAATTAAAAATTTGAGGAGTTATATCATTGTTGTGGTTACATACAAATAGAAACTTTCTAACTTTGAGCTGTGTCATGAACTCATGATCCTGCTCTAGTGCAGAATGGGGGAGAGAAAATTATTCTCCCTCCAGTTAAATAAACTTGCTATCAAAGAATTAGATTTTGTACTAGCATGCATACTGCTCTGAAAATGGATTACCTAAAACCTTTCCATTGGACAAGGTAGAGTTACAAACTGCTTTAAGAAGAGCTAAACTCACCATCCGAAACCTTAATAACAGTCATGGTCTTAGTAGTAGGAAAACTAGGAGATAGAACATAATGTTCAAACTTCAAAGTACTGTTATAATGTAATATAACCTCCATGTTAAAAACAGAACTGTTTTTCAAATGATCAGGAAAACTAAACAAACATTAAGTCCAAGTTTTTGGATGATTGCAAATGTTTCAGTGGTTAGGTAGGCAATTTCTTGGAAGGATCAAGTAGACATTAAAGATGAGTGCGAAATATGATACTATCCTTTCTCTAATTATTCATTTTATCTTTTCATCATAACTTCAAGATGGAGTTCGGGAAAGAAAGTGAAGCTATCCTATCAGTATTTCTTACTGGTGTTGAGCTCAAGGCTCTTTTCTATCTCAGTAGGTTATAGGGATTAATGAATTGAGAAGACCTTTACCTTGTTCTTTTCTTTCGCTCACATTTCTCTGACCTGTCTCCCAATTCTGGTACTCTTTTGCTTCTTGTTGGTTTGTAGTCTGTTTCTCTCTATTTTCTATCTCTTTCATTGCCCTGTTCTGCATCTTACTTAGGTATAGAATCTTTGGCATGGACATTTTGGCCTTGTTTATGTTATTTTCCTGAATTTTTGCAACAATTGGTATGGTTATGTTCTTTTTACCATTTTATCAATTCGATCCTGCAAGACATGCTTTTTCCTGGCAGGTTTTGTAGGGTAGGTTTGCTTTCTTATTACAATAAATATTTATTTTTGTATATATTTTTATTTTGACATTTTCCTCTTATTCTTTAAAATATGGGACCAGAGATTGTCATCTTTTAAGTTTATTACTAGAAGAGCTTGAAGTGGAGGCTGCAGCTTTGCATTCATTAAAATCACAGGCTCTAAGACTGTCTGCGGTGCAGCATTTTAAATCTGGACGAGTTTCTATACTGCTCGCTACTGATGTTGCTAGTCGTGGTTTAGACATTCCTGCTGTTGATCTTGTCATAAATTATGATCTTCCAAGGTCCTATTCATTAAGGATTTTGCTTAATTGTTGGTTTCTCTAAAGTTTGCTGTCGAACTAATATTTAGCTGCCACCTTTCAGGTATCCTAGAGATTATGTTCACCGTGTGGGGCGAACTGCTAGGGCTGGCAGAGGAGGATTGGCTGTGAGCTTTATTACTGAGGTTAGTCTGAAGTTGTGCTTGACATTGAAACTGGCATTTTTCATGCTTTCGGAGTGCTACCGGACCCTGAAGACCAGCTTAGAAAGGTTCTTCTGTAAATTTTAAAGAATACAAACTTTAGAAATGAGAATTTTCTTGTGACTTGACTATTCCATTCCTTGCTTGCTAGGAATTCACCTGTTTGCCTTCAAAATTGTAAAGACCTTAGATTAGTGATTCCGTTTACATATACAATGCACTGAAGGACTAGTACGCTCCTTTGCATGTGTTTTATGCCTTAAAGAGGATTGTCACATCTATAACATAATCAATAGCTGATATCCATACGTGTATTCCAACATTTGCTCTGTATGTGGTCACTGCAGAATTTCTATTTAACATATGTTTGTCGGCAGATAAGGAAGCAACTTAACAGAAATTGATTCAAAATTAGAACCTGCGTATAAATAAACCCTTTTTTTCTCCCCTCTTTCTCTTACTCTCCGGTTGAAAACTTACTGAGAAAAAAGTGTCTGTCGCCTCCTTTCTTCTCTATCACCACCCTCCATGCCAATTCATTTCTCTGTGTATAAAGTATGTAACATGGTTTATGGAATGTCTTCTATTTTTCTGATCTAATAGAGAGGCATTTAGAAGTATGAGGTTTCTAGTTTTGCATTTGCTTGATTTGCTTACTAGAGTTGTAATGTGCAGAATGATGTGGATCTTGTTCATGAAATAGAAGCTGAATTGGGGAAACAGTTGGAAAAATTTGAATGCAAAGAGAATGAAGTCCTGTCTGACTTCACAAAGGTATGATCTGTTAGATTCTTCTTTTAGGTAGTTTTCATACTTAAATTTTGGAGCTATTCATTTAGACAACCGACAACTCTCAACCTTGGAATAATTGGCTGTGCGAACTGCATATGCATCTGCACCTAATGCTCTTAGAACTGGTAAATCCTGTTAAAACTGTGCAATAGTATGCCTTAGGGTGTTGTGTTATTGTTTTAGGAATCAGAGCTTGTCCCACTGAATTATCTTGAGAGGAATAAAATAATTCTGCTTTTGTGGAATGATGCCTCTGCTCCACATATTGATGCTATTAGGTCTGCCTTTTAACTCATTAACTCTACTACCTACATATGAATATGTGCTAAGGAAGAGGAAGCAAATGTAGCACATATAATCTGAATTTAAAGGACTAATAACTTGTGCTGTTTTCTCGCTTTCGAATTTAGCATTACTAGAGTTTGTATTCGACATAGTAGTGTCTGGTGTTAATATGATTCAACTTAAACAACACAGTTGTTCAGTAGCTTATGCGAGTTAGTATCAAATTGGCAGGTATGTAAGGCTAAACGTGTTGCAACAATGAAGATGATGGATGATGGCTTTGAGGAGAAAGTGAAAGAACGTAAAAAGCACAAACTCAAGACACTAGCAGACAAAGGATTATTGAAGAAAAGGAGTAAAAAGAGAAAGCGTGATAAATCTGCAAAAAATAGTGATCGGTGATACTGATAGAAATCTTAAATACTCTCAACGCAACCCTCACCATCTGCACTCGATTCTGTAAACTTGCATGCAGTGGAAAGTGATTTTTTTTTTTTAATATATCCATCGTCCCTGTCATGAAAAACCCCTTTTGTTCTTTAGAATACTTGTCGAATATAAATTCCTAGTGGAATTTTTTTTTGTATTATTATGTCTCATCTATTAAAGAAAATCTTTTTAAGGAAAATAAATAAAATAAGTTAACAAATTTCCTTTGGGCTAAATACCAAATTTAGAGTTAAATATATAGGTGTTGTGCATTTCAGAATCAATTCTATTATTTAATCTAAATCAGTACACAACATTTACGAGTTATCTTAAATAAAGATTTTTTGTGACGAAAGCATGACTGAAAAATGCACTGTGTTGTAAAGTCGGTTAAGTGACGGGTGGCAAGAAAAATATCAGTTAATAGTGACAGTGGCCCGAAAAAAGATACACTAGCGTGCATTTCAAGTGGAAAAAATTATGTTTTTTTTTAATCAAACTTTTTTTAGCCAAAAAAGTTCGACTTTTTTTTTTTTTAATTTTATTTTTTCTTTTCTTATTTTGCTCCTCTCTGTCTCTCTAATTATTCATATTCAGTTGGAGAATTCGACGTTGCTATGCTTTTTGGCGCCTTCAGCCGTTGTTCCTCAGCCATAAAATTTATTTTATTTTATTTTTAACAAAGCAACCTTTATTTTCCAAACAAACGACAAAATAACCTTATGTCTCAACCTCCGTCTCCATCATAATTGTTAACGGTATTTAATGATAAAAAAATATAGTGATTTTTTCTTTTTTAGAAATCTTCACTAAATAATTAAAAATATTTTTATTATTTATGTTGATTTAATATATCAATAATTTAAAATATTCAACACTATATTAACTCAACATTATCCTTATTATCCTCTGACGATCTCCTACAACTTACTTATAAATATGAAAGTCCAAGCATTATTAAGATAGGTGGATCCTTACCCTTTTTGCTCCTTCTTACTTTTTTTTCGACCTAAATTTTTTTTACTTATGCCTCAAAGTGCAAATGTAGGGAATACACCCTGCCTTTGTTTCTAAGTATCATTTTCTTTTATCTTTCTAGGAAAATTTTAAAGTCAAAGTTCGACACCAACGTTTGGGGTGCCAGGTAATAGACTCTATTATTTCATTAGTTGAGCATAAAACGATGCAGTCACAGAAGAGAACCTTAAAGGAAAGAGAGACAACCATCTTAGTTGGAATAAAAACCCACCATAATCAACATTCAGTATAATCGCCCAACCACAAATGGGCTCGACCATGAAATAATTTCAAGCCCTAACCAAACAAATACAGGCTCTCAAGCAAATGTTACAAACCATAACGCCATCCTAAGTTTCAAAAGTACCTAACTTAGTCACTCCTAACCGAGGAGTCGCTATCAAACAATCGAGTTACAAAGAGGTGGAAGCCTTCTCGATCTCTAGAAAAGAGGAGCACAAGTTCAGCCCACCATTACCCCAGCCATAATTCAACACAGGCTACGATCAAAAAATTCAAACAAACAAACCCTGAACCCAACCAAATAAAGATTTAGAAGCTTGGATATAAACATGAAAAAAGAGCTAAAAATAAAAATAGTAGCTTTTGAGGATGAGCTCAAGTTCTTGGAGACTTCACCCTTCATCAAAGAAATTGACAGAGCTATACCTCCCAAAAAATTTAAAATGCCAACCTTGAAAACCTACATTGGTACTTCTGACCCCTTCAATCATTTGAAACTTTATAGAACTAACATGATGATGCAAGAGGCAGACGAAGTGCTAATGTACAAAAGCTTAGCTACTACATTAAACGGTGCAACTTAGCCTTGATATAACAGCCTGAAATCGAGGTCAATCACAATGTTCAAGGAACTTAACCATTCTTTCCTATCCAAGTTTATGAGTAATCGAAAAGCAAAAAAATTGATCTTAAGTCTGATGTTAATCCACCAAGGATGAAATAAAACTCTGAAGAGCTATGTCACGTGTTTTAACATGGAAGCTCTGTAGGTTAAAAACCTAAAACAAACAATCATTGCCATCATCTTGATGAGTAGACTCAACAACAAAGAGTACCATCCAAAGTTGACATTGTTGCTAGAATATCCTAAAACTTTGGCGATGTTCTACTAATAACAAAGAGGTACATAAATGCTGAAGCTATGATTAAAACTAATTGAAGTGAAAAAGGCTCATTCCACCTCTTTGATCGTAAAAAAGACAAAGATTTCTACGATCTTTCCCTAAGAGGGAGACGACATAAGGCTAGAAGCCTCATTAAAGAAAAAAGTTACACTACACTATAATGAATACCTTTTGATAAAGGATTTTAATGCAAATTGAAAGAAACCTCAACTTCAGATGGCACAAAAAATAAAAAGAGATATAACCAAAATATGTGCCTTTTACAAAGATATAGGTCACAACATTAAAGATTGTGTCAACTTAAAAAATAAGATTAAAGCTATGATAAGACAAGGTCAATTGAAAAGATTTATGAGATAGATAATATAAGACCAATCTAAAATAGACTACAGGCAAGACCAAAGAACATCCATCTTAGGTAAAAAGGAAATAGTAAAACATAAAAGAACAGAAGCTTAGAAAGATGAGCTGATCCAAGAAGAGGGTCGAACTGATAATAATATGTCAATTGTCAAAGTGATTAATGTGATCACTGGAGATAGCTCCATCATAGCCAAGAGAAAGTTTAACTCAGGCATGGTTATAGTGGTAGGCACCTCGACAAAAAAAAAAAAGACTAAAAAGATAAGCTGATCTCATTTAGCTCAAAAGATCTTGAAAAAATCCAATAGCCATATGATGATCCCATAGTGATCACAGTCTTAGTGTACAACTATGTAGTCAAACGAATTTTATTTGATAATGGGAGTTCGACTAACGTCATGTACTATGACTGTATGAAAAATATAGGGATTAGTGAAGATCAATTGAAGCCGATCATCATAACACTTATAAGGTTTGAGAATGGACAGGTACCAATAAAGGGAACCATCAAACTTTTAATCTTCTTAGGGACTGAACTAGAGACTATTACTCGATTATAGAATTCATGGTTGTAGACATCTCATCAGTTTATAACATGATATTGGGTTAACCTAACTAATCTATTGTGTGGCTTGTAGGCTCGGCTCTCAATTTGAAAGTGAAATTTTTAACACCCAAAAGGTTGGAGAGGTATAGGGAGACCAATTCATGACGCAACAGTGTTATGTCACAACAATGAAAGGTAAGACTGGGAAGCAGATGGGCAATTCGATAGAAGCTGAGGTCAAAAGCAAAAAAAAATAACCATAAAAAATTGACAAGAAGGAGACAATCACCAATGAGAATACAAAATGTAAGACCAACCTGACATAAGCACAATCTTAAGCCATTTCGAGCTCTTAAGCTCTATCAAAAGAAAACCTTTACTTTTATTTTTTAAATTTTGAGGTAACACCAAAGACAATCGAGCTTTTAAGTTGGTGTAAACAATTATATGTTACTTGGACCAAGCTAATACGCTAACCAAAACATAGTATGAAATGAAAAATACATGCCAATTTTGCTACATACATATTTAACAAGTTATTCATAGTATACTAATCATCACATTAGGATCTGTTTTCATAGAAAATGATTCAAACTTAATTGAACAAAAATAGATAATTAATTAAAGTCAGACTTAGATGAAAATCGATCTGAATCAATTAAGTACCTCATAACAATTTTGTTTTGGGATAACATCTTTCAAAAACACATGCTGATTGGAGTTAAGCTTCAATATAAGGATCAACTA